TGGTCATAATGTTATGGCTGATTGATTGATTGAATGATATATATATATATATATATATAATCTCAAAAGACATATTACATACAAGTACATTAGTATATGCGGTTGAATTTCCAACAGGCCAATCACAGTGAATCAGTCTGTGAGACACATAGGAACTGCTGTGCAATTTGAGTGGCCTGTGAACAGCTGTCATTGCATTGTACAGCACCTTCACCCACCCCGCTGCAGCAGATCACATGAATCTCATGGAGGAATTTCCGAGACTCCACAATCTGGCCACATTCACAACTGTGAAAATTGCTCGCTTTACAACTGCTCCTGTTCCAGAGAATGTTCCAGCGAAGTTTGCCCCTTCCACAAATTTGTGGCCTGTGCATTACCACAGTGCAGGTACCCATCAACATGTTTTTGCCCAGAAGGTGATCCCTGCCATCCACCAACATGTATAAGGAAATGTTGCTGGATCACGCAGTCATCTGTGGCTGACCTCTCAAGGGTGTAGCCTATCACTTTCGCCTGCTGATGCACTACCTGGTTGCACCCTACTAGCTGCAGGTGACAAAACTCTGCCGCTTCCTTTAGGCCTCCCAGGCATGATGACAATAGAGGACTGCCTAATTTTATTAGCAGCTATGTCAATAGAGGGATTGAAGATGTGCTGCTTGCACTTGAGAATGTGGTGATTATGTGTGGTACATTGGACAGCAATAATGTGCAGTGATGTGCTGCTAACAAAGGGTAGATTTGCATGTGTCAACAAGTTGGCACTGCTGACCCCAAAAAGAAAGAAAATAGACCTCCAAAAAAAAGTAAAATAAAGCCCAAAACCCCAAACAACAAACCTAAAACAATAAATCACAAAGCATTTTTTTTTGCAAAAAAATAATATGGTAAAAAAATAACATAAAATAAAGGAAGAGGGGGGATCATCAGCAGCTAAATAGCAACATAACATGCTGACACAGGTCATGAAAAGCATTTTGGGGTTCGCTTTTGGTGCATGGGCGATTTTGCTCATGGCCGAACGATGGATGCGAAGCCAACTTGGTGGCAAATGCAAACCTCATACCTAGCTGTGACCTGAATAACAGAAGATATGATTACACCCCCATAGCTGAAAACGTCAGAGGAGAGACATGCCATCTCCCTCACTGCTAAATAACGCAGCAACATTTGGATGTTCAGTTTGTAGAGTAAACGCTCCAAACAATGTATTATTTGAAAAATGTTTAATCTTTTTTTTAAGAAACATTCTCTTGTAAAATGTTTTATACAAATAGTGAAACAAAATATACTAACCTTTCATAAACTTATATATACAAATAAATTGTAATTTCCTTTTTGGGTGATAAAAGCGAATAAATTTACCTTTGTAAAATCACTGGCAATAAATCCTTGCTCCAAACCACTGAACATAGTTAGAGGTATCAGAAGGCATTGACGTTTATCACCAAGATGCTTAAATGCTGCAAGAAGTGTGGAACAGGTATTTTTTTCTTGCTGAACCTTGTCTGTTTGTATCCGTTCCAAAAATATGATTATCAGTAACATGGCTAGAACACCACAAGCTAAAATGGAAAAAAATAATAAAATGTGTTAAAGACGGGAGCAGGGAAATGGGGAAGTGGCTTGGACCCTGCAAGAGAAAGGAGCCACCCTAAAACAGAATATTAGAGCCAGCGCTCAGGAGACCATTTGATTCTACAGGAAACTAAAACTATGAAAAATCAAGGAGCAGCATTCACTGTAAGCGATTTAATCAGCGTTTCCTTGCTACTAAATATTCGGCGGTCAACTGTTAGTGGTATTAGAACAAAGTGGAAGCAACTGGGAACAGCAGCAACTCATCCACGAAGTGGTAGGTCATGTAAAATGGCAGAGCAGGGTCAGGGCATGCTGAAGCGCACAGTGTGCAGAACTCGCCAACTGTCTGCAGAGTCAATAGCTACAGACCTCCAAACTTTGTGTGGCCTTCAGATTGGCATAACAACAGTGCAGCTGCATCCAAGCCTTACATCACCAAGTGCAATGCAAAGCGTGGGATGCAGTGGTGTAAAGCACACCGCCACTGGACTGTAGAGAAGTTGAGACGTGTTCTCTGGAGTGACGAATCACGCTTCTCTGTCTGGCAATCAGGTCTGGCGGTTGCCACGAGAACAAAACTTGCCAAGTGTAAAGTATGGTGTGGGGTTGTTTTTCAGGGGTTGGGCTTGGCTCCTTAGTTTCAGTGAAGGGAACTCTTAAGGCATTAGCATACCAAGACATTTTGGACAATTTCATGCTCCCAACTTTGTGTGAACAGTTTGGGGATGGCCCTTTCCTGTTCCAACATGATTGCACACCCCCCTTCCCCCTGCACACCCATATATAAAATAAAACACAGAGCCCCCTCTCCTGCTTACTTTTTTGCAGGGAGGAGGCTGTGAGGAGGCACGATCCCTGGTGCTCGTGCCTCCTCACAGTGATTAGTGAGGTCTTCTGCAGACCTCACTAATCCATCCTTTTGGCCGTAGCTCATAACTGAGCTGCAGCCGAAAGGATCTCAGTGCTGGAGCTGACAGGAGCAGCTCTGCGGTCTGCATCTGACACAGATGCAGACCATGTAGCTGCTCCCGCAAGTCAGGTAGGTGGTCCATGACCACCTACCTGACTTGTCAGCTGGCTGTGGGCCACATAGTACCGGCTCGCGGGCCGGTACTTTGAGACAGCTGGTGTAGACCTTTATAACATTATAATGAAGACATAAAAAAAATCTTCTTGGCTTGGGACTAAAGTTTGTACCACTTTTTGGTAAAAATTCCATGCTATCAAAGCAAAAAAGTGTTCATTTACCGCAAACATGGATTTATAAAAGTAAATCCAAACCCAAGTCACTGAACAATGGCAGTAGTCCTGTTTTCAGTGAATACCATTGCTTTAGCCTTAATGAGCCTTGCAAACAAAAATAAGGTTTTCCCCCAATGTTCTAATGCTGTGATGTGCTGATCTCATAGTAGTTAAATATATTTGCATATGTGTACTACCTGTTCATCGGAGTGTGTGTAAGAAGACTGTACTGTCTATTACATTATTATTGCTGAGGCCATCTAGTGGTTGTTGTTGTTGTAATTGCAGTTTAATTCCTCATGAAAGAAACAGGAGGCGTTTTGCACTTGTTAATAAAGTTTACAGTTGGTAATGAAGTTTCACCCTCAGATTGCAGCAGCCACCTCAGCTTCCAGAAGCATACCAGTGAAGCTCTCCTGTTTCTCCTTTTGATACACATATGCTTGTAAGTCAGTCTATTGTTTGTCAAAGCTTAATGTATATTTACATTACACCACTTTATGTGTACTATGATATGTAAGGTAAGTTCTCTCCAAAGAAGTGTATATGTATTTAAAAGTGCCATATGTAATTACATTTTGTAATTCTGGTGTATATATGATTGTATTGCAGTTTTACAGAACTGAAGTAAATTCAGTTTTGGAATAAAACACAACATTGCTTTTGTCGGTTTTCTTATCAAGCTGTCAGCTTAGCCTAAGAGTCAGTAGGATAGCATAGTAAAAAAAGTATACGTATAACAGGTGAGGATAAAAGAGCTGTATCTGAAAGTAAAAAAGCATACGTATAACAGGCAATGAAAAAAGAGCTGCATTTGAAAGGAAAACATCCCTCTGAACACTGTACTTAAAGCAGTGCTTTAGTTCATACATTATGAACTCATCTATCTGGCTTCGGATATTCAGTGCGCTCCAGAAGATCATCAGTCAGTTCTGCAGACCTCAGGGCAAGAGCAAAGGCAGAAGCAGCACAAGCAGCGATCTCATATGTTGAAAAAGAAGCTGACTTGATGAGGCAGAAAGCAGAGTTGGAAGCTAATATGCATGTGCTCAGAGCCGTAGCTAGCTCCTTTTGCACCCGAGGCAAGAACAGAAAATTGTGCCCCCCAACAGAAGTGTGCGGTATGTGCCGTCATGCGCCCCGCCTCCAGGAAGGCGGAGCGCATGTGCATAATGCACTGGAGGCCAAATCCAAAATAGCATAAAAATTTGTTTTATTTGACGAAACTAAAGAAAAGATTTTTAGTTTCCGTTAATTTCACCCGAAATTTTTTTTTAGTCTTTGCACATGTCTAGTAGTCTAGTTTGTTTTATTTATTTAACTGTTGGGGGGGCTTCAGGGAAAAATCAGGGGTCTAAATAGACACCTGACTTTTCCCTTTTGAAATAGAAAAAGAGATTGAGGGCACAGAGTCCTCTGCCCATACAGGTGGGGGAGAGCAGCAGGGATCCGAGGAGAAGCTGGAGCCTGTGACGCTCCTCTTTTCCCTGCTGAGCCACGGCTGTGTTGGCCGCCTGGCGCCCCTGTTTCCATAGGTGCCCTCTGTTTGTCCATGGTAACAGGTGTGAGGGGGCACAGCCAGGCTGGCCCTGGCTGCGCCCCCTCTCGGCTGTGCCTGAGGCGAGTGCCTCACTCGCCCCATGGTAGCTACAGCCCTGCATGTGCTGCAGATTCAAACAGTAGCAGCAGCGTCTTCGGCAGAGGCTGCAGTATATGAAACTGTGGTTAGTTTGGAAGAGATCAGCTCCAAGACTTTGTGGAAATAGCAACTCACGATTTAGTGCAAAAGGATATGTACAGAGTCACGCTCTGGACCAACTTATGCTTCTATTAAGCCTATCTCCAGCACAGTTCCATGGTCTCCTAACGTAATACACCAGCATCCCTCTCCAGATATGCCTGTGTGGAACCCTGCTCTTCACACTAACTCTGAAATGTTCCAGTGCCAAAGGTGCACTTTCAAGAAAGCAAACACTTTGCTAACCCTTGCCATCCTTCAGATGACTCGGTTATCATGTATCCTCTTTGAGAAATGGCCCTTTAGGAACATCAGAGACAACTGATCTGGCAAAGCACCTAATTTGACGAGAGTTAGTGAGCACAGGGCTGTTAACATTTAATTATTGCCCTGAGAACTATTGGGCATGGAAGTCATAATTCCAAGGCATCCCACTTTCATTGAATGCGACATTATACCTGATGACAGATCAGAAATACCAACACCTGAGATTACACAGCATTTTCCTCATCTAAAATCCTTAACAGATGAGATCCCTGCACTTGACCCTAATGTCCAAATACTCCTCTTGCTAGGAAGAGACATTTTGAGAGTGCACAAGGTACGTGAGCAGATTAATGGACCCTGTAATGCTGCATTTGAAATTAAAAAAGCATACGTATAACAGAACGAAGAAAAAAGAGCTGCATTTGTGAAAGTAAAAAATGTAATCATGCAAACATCAACTTAAATCAGTGGCTTTTAGGGTTGTTTCACTATGGTGCATTGTCATGCATTACCCTATATGCTCAGCAACACATGTACCACAGTGCAGTGCATTGTGGTGTCATTCATTATAAATAGCACTGATTTGACTGGAATACTAATCAAATGATCCAACAAATTTTTTTAACTGATTTTTCATTTGACCATTTTAAAGTGACATTAAAGTCACAAATCCCCCCCCCCATGCTGCTTTAAGGACTTACCTTAAATGATTCCTCTTGATCTGATCATCTTCTTCCTTCCACTTGTATTCAGCAATCCCTCCAGCGCTGGCGCCGGTCTGTGATCCAGCACAGGCTGTTCTCTCTTCCTGTCTCACAGTGTCTGTCTGTCTGTCAGCTCCCAGCTGCGTGCATTATCCTCCACTGTGCCTCTCCTCTTCTTCCTGCTGAAGATCTCTACTGTGCATGCGCCTGCTTGCTACTGTGCATATATCTACTGCTTGCTAGTAAAACTAAGATGTCTTTGCACCAGAGGTGTACATACTGTATGTATTCAACACCGGAAGCAGATAATTTTTTTACCACTCCCTTCCTCTGTATGATAAAATTATTTTTACTCACTTTATTTATTCACATGTCGCATTCCATCACATATATCAACAATTATAATCTTCCTCATTTAGAAAAATGGGCAGAGCTATGCAAATCTTTCATTGTTTCCCTAGTGGTCAACTACAACCAGAACCACTGATGTATGTTTACATATACAGCCTAATATTATAAAATAATTAACTCTAAACTGCACATTTGTTTAACCCCTTAAGGACCAAGGCCTTTTTTTCGTTAAAATACACATTTTAAGCCTGAAGATTACTTAAAACCCCCAAAAATGATATATTTTCTGAAAGTCAAGACCCTGTGGAATAAAACGGTGGTAGTTGCAAATTTTTATGTTGCATGATATTAACGCAACTTATTATCAAACAAAAATTTTGTGAAAACTGCACTTAAGTTAAAATTAGTGCCCCAAAGCACTATATCAAACCCCTTTTTTTGTAAAATATAAAAGATAAGGTTATAACGAGTAAAAAGATACCCAATATGCCCAGGTTAAAAATTGTGTGCACTTCAATAGCTTATTGCTGGGCTTCAGGAGCCCAGCAATGACAGCTCAGGGACCGGAAGTAATGCAATAGGCATCGCTCCTGGTCCCATAGAAATGGGAAGGAGATTGGTGAACAGACGTTCGCTGCTTTCCTCCCCAGCTTCTTGCCGACACCCAAGATGCCGGTACCGT